TATTTGTTGACCAATCATAGTTCTTCTTTTGAGAAGTTTAGTTCCTTTGCCCATTTTTTATTTGATGGGTTGTTTTTTGTTTGTTTGTTTGTTTGTTTTTCATGTTAGAGCTTTTTTGAGTTCTTTGTATATCCTGGGAATTAATGCCTTATCTGAGGTGCAGGTGGCAAAGATTTTTCTCCCATTCTGTAGGCTCTCTGTTCATGCTCTTGATTGCTTCCTTTGCGGTGAAGGGGCTAGACTTTATGGAGCATGGGTGGTGCTTTCCTGCACACTGCCCTGACTCATGTGCACATAAGACAAGATCCCTGTCCCCCTCAGGGGCCTGGAATGTGCCATTAAGCAGACCCCAGTGCAGGAAGCTGGGTACAGTAAGTCTCTGCCTCCCTCATGGAAACCAAGGTCAGGCCAGCTTTGTGGCTGCCCAGGCTCCACGGTAAAAATGACAGCACAGGAAACCCTGGGGCTTCTGCAGAAAACCCCTGGCGTTGGCCCTGCCCGTTGTTTTCCTGGCCCCGCATGGAGGCATTGTGCACATTAAACAAACAAACAGCAGCCTTTTGGCCTTAAGCTCAAAAGGTTTTTTCGGCTCCCTTCTGTTTCTCCCCAGCTGCTGCCATCCCTGTGGCCCAGGTACACCCTGAGCAAGTTCTTGGGTGACTTTCTTGCCTGCAGCCTCATGCCCACATCAGCAAATCCTGGCATTTCTGTTCTATCCGTAGGACTCCGCAGACCCTGTTTCCCATCAGACCTGGCCACCAGCGGTCCCTCTGGGAGAACCTAATGGCCTTGTCCACTCTTCCCACTTCAGCAGTGCCCACCCCAGGCCTGTCCTGTTCCCACAGCAGCTAGGTGGGCCTTGTCCAACCATGGCATGGATCCCATTGCCTTCCCCTGCCTGTCTAATGTCTGCCCTTCATGTCCCCTCCCTGCCCAGCCTCAGGGGGCCCTTTTCTGCGGGCCTAGCTTCCCTGCTGGACTTGTCCCCACCTTCTCTCTACAGTGCTGGGCCCTGGCCACCCTGGCTTCCCTTTCTCCAACGATGCAGCTCTTCTGCCCTCCTGGAGGCCTCCTCGCTCCTGGCGGCCCTGAGCAGCTCTGCCCTGACTGGACGCCTGCACCCGGCCATCATGTCCTCCGACAGGCCTCCCTGCCCACCACTGGAGGCTGGAGTCCCATGGTTTGCTTCCTCCACAGCGGTTGTCTGTTCATTTGTCTCTTATGCTTGGTGTGTCCCTCACTATGAGGGCAAGGGGCAGGCACCACGACCTTGGTTACTGTGCGGTGCCAGGGTTGGGTGCAGAGTAGATGCTCATTAACACTTGCTGAATAGCCCAGGGACGAAATAAGTCAAAAGTGGAAAGAATTGATAAAGGAGTGATATAACATAGAGCCAGGCGCCCTTCTTTGAAGATGCAAAGGCAGGGGATAGGACACCCGTATCAGACTTCAGGCCGGCTTAGAGCCCCAGAAATGCTCCTGGAAACCTTGAGTGCTGACCTGTGGTAACCTTGAGTGCTGACCTTGGCCGAGAACTCCGCATCGAATCCGGATGCCAGCACCTCCTCCCTGGGCTATCTACAGTGTGTCTGTCCTTGTTCACTGGAGGAGATAGGAAAACCCAAACAATAAAAAGAGAAGTACTTTCCCTGCCGTCACACACTCACCACAGAACCCTTCTGACACCGCGCGTGTCCCCCACAGAGCAGCTCTCAGTGGACACTGCTCTCAACCTGGAGTCAGAGTCAGATCCCTCAGGATTTGACAAGACTGCCTCCTACTTCAGACACCCATTCCAAGTAAGAGGTTGTCACCCTGACTTCCGACTGACCTGCTCTAAATGGGGGTTCCTGTGGCTGCTCTCACACAGGTTTGGGTGACTTGCCAGGATGGCTCATGGAATTCTGGGAAACACTTCACGGATGTTTGCCAGTTTGTGATCTTAATAAAAGAAATGGAAAGGATACGAATAAATAGCCAAGTGGAGAAAGAGATACAGAGGCCAGCGCCCAAGCACAGGAGTGTGTCCTCATGGAGTCGGGGTTCACCATCTCCCAGCAGGTGGACGGGCCTGTCAACCTTGAGGTTTTCCAGACCCCAGGGTTTGGGATTTTTTTAATGGAAGCCTCATGATTCAGATATGTTCAATTATTAACTCAATCTCCAGCCCCTCTCCCCGTCCCAGAGAATGGGGGCAGGGAGGATTTGAAAAGTCCAAACTTCTGATTGTGGCTTAGTCCTTCTGGTGACCAGTCCCCACCTAGGAGTCCACCAAGAGTCGCTTCATTTGAACAAAGAATATGTTCCTATCACCTAGGAAACGCTAAGAGACTTTGGAACCCTGTGTCATTTGAACAAAAAAAGATACTCCTATGGCTTGGAAATCGTAAAGGTCATAGAGCTCTGTGCCAGGAACTGAGAGCAGAGATCAAATATAGCTTCACTATTATATCCGTGCTGTGGCTTGAATATGTCGTCTCCAGATTCAGATGTTGCCAGTGTGATAATATGAAAAGGTAGAATGTCCAAGAGGAGATGAGGCCATGAGGGCTGCTTCTGTGTGAATGGGATTAGGTGCCCTTAGAAAGGGCCTTGACAGACAGTGTGCATCTCTCTTCACCTTCTGCCTTCTGCTATGGAAGACATAGCATTTTTTCCCTCCAGAGGACACACCACAAGGCGCCATCTTGTCAGCAGAGACCTGACTCCTCAGACAAGCAAATGTCCCAGTACCTTGATCTAGAGAATTCCCAGCCTCTAGAACTGTGAATAAATAAGTTTGTCTTGAAAGATTACCTAAGGGCTGAGTGGGCGGCTCATTGATAGAGTACCTGCCTAGCATACATGAGGCCCTGAGTTCCATCTCCAGTTCCATAAAATAAAACAATAAAAATTACCTAGTTGGGGGAATTCTCTTACAGCAGCAGTAATAAACTCAGACACAATATCATTGTCAGTCATCAGCAAATGCTCGCTGAGCGCCAGCTTTGCCCAGGCAATCTCGAAGGCACTGAAGATTCAGGAATTATTCCTGCTCCCACAGAGACTACGTTCCCGGGGTAGGGAGTGGCTTCCAAACCAGTGAGCAAAACACATACCGACTGGACAGCAGTGAGCAGGGTTGTGGTGACATCACACCCTCAGAGGATGGTGGCCTGGGGCCAGGAAAGTTCCTCACTTTGCCTTGGTGTCTTCATCTGTGAAACAGGCTAATGAGAGTCCCTCATCTTAGGGCCAGGCCCTGTTCTCCTCTGTCTTCACCACAGCCAACAAAGCCAGAAGAGTGGCCCCTTGCTAATCCATGACACTCAAGTCCTGCTCCCTGAGCTTGCTTCCTCCCTCTGTCCCCCCAACCCCCACTGGGCATCATGCTCTACCGCTCCTTGGTCAGGCCAGACAACACACAGGAAAAACACCATCCACCTCTGAGTGATACCTAGGCAAGCCCAAGCCCTGAGCTGTAGCTGGGGGTTCTGCCCTCCCTGCCACCCACACACTTTCTAGACATTCTGGGGAAGGGGTTTCTAAGTGCAGCTGCAAGGTCACTAAGAATGACTTTTCTGTGGTATCAGCAAGGGCCCAAGGACCTTACTGAGAACCTACTTCCTTGTTCCTGAGCAGAGCTGTCAACGGAAGTGCCCAGTGCCCACACTGTCTACAGATTTGTGTTTATGTTGTGGTTTTATCTTGGACATAAACAATAAGTGGGCAAATTGAGCACTAGATGTACCACCAAGCTTCCTTTATAGATTCATGCCATTTCATTTCTTCCTCTTTTCTCTTCTACACTTTGCTCACCAAACATCCAGCCCCTGCTGCATGCAAACCCCAGGCTGGGAACAGAACAGTACTGGGAACAACAGCTGTGAACAGCAAATCTTAATATGCATCAGAGTAAAATAGGAGGGGCTGAGAATTGGGACATGCATGATGCTGCTCTGCTAGAATAAGGTTTCATCCCAACCCCTGGGGTCAGCAAATGTTTCATTCCTGCAGAGTTCTTGAGCTTTGCCAGGGAAGCTGAGGTTGGAGAGAGGAATGGAATTCCAAGTACAGCAGGTATGAGGCAGACAGCAGGGCTGGGGCGAAGGCTCTCCTGGGCAGTCCTCCTGCCCTGGGAACCCTGGTCTTGGAGGAAACACAGGATGGAGGGTGTGGTGGGTTGGGGAAAACAACAGCAGTGCCAGAAAAACAACTCTGGATGCCTACCCTTGGCGGGACAGAGGCTGCCTGGGAAGCGATTCCCATTGTTTCTGTTTCCTCCATGGGGGCCTGTTTGAGAGGAGGCCATGGGCCTGCTAATTGTCAGAGTGGCCCTGAGAGCTCCTTAAGAAGTCAAGAGGGAGGCCGAATAGGAAATGGCCACCTTCAAAGATACAAAAGATAAGCAATGATCAAGTGAAACAAGCCATAATTTGGGGACAACAATAGATTCAGAATAACAAGCCTGGAAGGGGCTAACATACCATCTACTTGAACCTCGTCATTTTTGCAGAATAAGATGCCCAGCTCCAGAGACATTTGAAGCCCACACAGCCAATAGTTCTCCTGACTCACATTAGAATGCTCAGATTACTTCCTGGGCCTGAGAGCAGCCGGAAAAGAAAGTTCTACGTGCCTTCTCCTTCCAAATGCAATTCCCAACAAGTCAGGACAACCTGCCCTTATGCTTTTGATGAGCTCATAGCCCAGGGGTTCAGCAGGGCCTCCGGGTGACTGCTGCTGCACCACTCGTGACCTTGGAGATGAAGGTCAGAGTGAGACACTTAACTGCTCACCTGCATGGCTTGAAGTCCCAGATATCTGGGAGACCTGTTTCCAGCCCCAGCTAATCAGGAGAGCACACAGGTGAGGCAGTGCTCACAGCAGAAGGAGTCTCCTCCCTTTACTCTTCCATTTACCCAGATCAGCCATGACTCAGGCTGGACCACTGCCCTCTCTCTGCCGGCCCTGGCTGCCCCAGTACAGCCACAGTCTCTGGCTTTCTCATGCTTTGAGGCCTTTTTACATATGTTCTTCCCATCGCCTGAAATCTTCCTGTCCCCAGCTCCTCCTCTGCCTGTGCAGGTCCTGCTTATCCTAGAGGCTCCAGCTGGGACATCCCTTACTTTTGGTAGGCCTTCCCGAGACGGGGTGAGGTGCCTCTCCTAAGGAACCCTCTATCCTGGCTGTACACAGTCATCACACTGGATTGTAACTGTCTGCAACTATACGCAACAACACACACAGTTCTTCCGTGGTTTGCACTGTTGTGAGAATTCGCTCACTCTATCCTTGTGGCAGATGTAAAGTGTTACTTCGCCCATTTTCAGGCGAACAAACTGATTCAGAGGGGTTGAGCCTCTTGCCCAAGATCACACAGTGAGTCATAGAGTCAGATTATATGAAGCCAGTTGGGAGGACAGGACAATGTCCCATCCAGATTCTCCTTCAAGGAAAGACTATGCTGGCCAGCTGGCAGGGCCATCAGGAGACTCATTTTCATTCTGAGCCCTTTCACGTACAGCTTCAGCAACTTAGAGACATGCCCTTCCCAGAGTATCTCTCCATGCACCAATCAATGGGGGGTACAAAAGCTTGGTCATCTCATCTCACGGGGCCATTTCAGCTGCAGAACTCCCTAGGGGGAGGGCAGAGGCCTTTGCTGGACCCACCTTATAGCTCACCTTCTCCCTGGCTCAGTCCTGCTTCCTTCTTGTAGGGTTGATTCCAAGGCTCCCCAACAGTCACCCTATGAGTTGGCTGCCACCCATAGCCACAGCTGCTTGGTTCCAGCACTGCCCCATGGTACAGGCCTGGCCTCTAGCATGGGGTCAGAACACAGCAGTGCTCAACACTGATCTGTTGGATAAAGGAGCAAATGCACAAATAAAGAGACTGTGTGGTTAAGGAACGTGCATAGTCACCTTCCAGGTTCTCAGTAGCTCTTACTAAGTAAGTAGGTAGCCATCAAGTTCACCATGTGCCTTCCCTGACATCCTTGGGCTGCCCCTTTGTCCTCTGAACACTTGGTACACTGGGGAGGTGGGCCTTCTGCCTGCCCATGTGTTTTAGTCAGCTCTTTTGTTGCTGTGACAAAAGACCTGACAAAAACAATTTTAGAGGAGGAAAAGTTTATTTGGTGCTCATGGTTTTGCTACAGAGCTGGGGCCGTCTGGAAAACTGAGACAGTGAGAAGACCTCCCCCACTTCAAACCCCAATTCTTATGATCAAGTCAACGATTTCAGACATGGTGCTCAGAGGAATAGGAGTGAGTTTATTGAAGGGATAGGAAAAGGGGAAGGGGACACTTTCAAGGGAGAGGGTGGGTCCTCTCAAAGAGGAGAGGGACATCAAGTCTCTCCAACTTTATTGGGGGTCCCAGAGAAGTTTCCAGAGAGTCCTGCCCAAGCCCCCCTTACTGACTTTTGACTGACGGCAGGATAACCTCAGACTTTCAAGTCCCCATGGCCATGACAACTCTGGGCTACCTTGGCCCACGTTGACCAGTTCTAATAGGATACCTCACCGGATTTTATGGTTAGGAGGAAGATCCTTATCTCCCTGAGTTTGGGGATCTGGTCTATGAAGAGTCACAAGAGTTTCCTCCTTCAGGGTGACTTGGTTTTCTCTTATCTACATTGTTTCAGGCCTGCATTTCTCCTGCAGATAACAGATAGTTTGCTGTGGAATGTGACGTAACCTGTCCACTGAAGCCAGGGCTTGTTGCAGGAAAATTGCTTCTTAGAGAAGAAAACATGTGCAGGTCAGCACAGTGGGCTCATTTTATAGAATTATTCCCTTAACCTGGCATTCCCACCATTGGCACCTGTCTGCTCCCTAACAGTTTCAGGGATCTCAATTCATGGTTGGCCGACTCCATGGCTCTGAGCCTAAAGTGAGGCAGAACATCATGGTGAAGGGTGTGGAGGACAGAAGCAGCTCAAGACACGACAATCAGGAAGGTGGGGGAGAGAGAGCATGAGCATTCCATTCACCTGGGGCAAATAAAAAGCCCAAAGACACACTGCCAGTAACCTACCTCCTCCGGCCACAACCTACCTGCCTGTCGTTACCACCCAGTTAATCCATTCAAGTGGATTAATGCACTGATTAGGTTAAGGCTCTCATAACCCAATCCTTTCACCTCTAAACTTTCTTGCATTATCTCACACATGAGCTTTTGGGGAACAGGGTTTTGTTGTTGTTGTTGTTGTTTTGATACTTGGGGATTGGACCCAAGGGTACTTTTCCACTGTGCTACATCCCCAACCCTTTTTATTTTTTTATTTTGAAACAGGGTCTAAGTTGCTTAGGTTCTCCCTGAGTTGCCCAGGCTGGCCTTGAACTTGAGATCCTCCTGCCTCAGCCTCCTGAGTCGCTGGGATTACAGGCTAGTACCCCCATACCTGGCTGGGGGAGAGCTTATAACCTAAACCATAACACCGTGTTATAGATAAGGCAGTTTGGGTGTACAGAAACAAGGCTAAGGGCAAACTGGAATGAGTTCAGGGTGGAGTCCTTCTTGGGGCGGCTAGCAGAAACCAAAACCCACAGACAGACTCTCTCCTGCTCCTCAAGTAAGTCGTTCATCTCCAACCTTCACCCCAGCCCTTGATCCTGCTCCTCAAGCTCCTGAGTCCTCAGCCCCACACCCCTGCCGCTCCAACCAGCAATGGGAAAGCAGCCTCTAATCCAGATCGTGAACCTGGAAAGAGAAAAACCGCTCACTGGTGGATGGACAGGCAGGTTGTCTCTTTCCTCCCCACCTTGGTGGGGTCTCTCCAGTCTGGCTCACCCCTGAGCCTCAGGCCTTCTTCCTTTTCCCACCAGTCAGGGACAAATGAAGAGGGGGCTGTGGGAGAAGAGCAGCTGCAGAAGGAGGACACTTAGTATCCTACCTACCAGGGTCTTAGTGAACTTCATATTTAACCTTAACAGATAAGGCTCTGGAGGAGATACCATTTGCTCTACTTCACAAAGGAATCAAAAACAAACCCTGAAATTCGAAGAAGCTAAGGAATTTGTCCAAGGTCACATAATTAGAAGATCAGAAGCCAGGTTTTTTTTTTCTGATGCCAATACTGTTCCTATTATGCGGGGGTGGGGGGGTGGGGGGTGGCTTTTGCAGCCCCTGGGGCTTTGGCATGTGGCCCCAGGATCCTGGGGTGGACAATGGAAACAAAATGACTAGTCAGTGGGAACAGTAACTGCAGCTCTAGAAATAGGTGAGGCATGGAGACATTGCAAAATAAATGCAACACCGCTCATTCAGGGTCACACATCCCCTCCCTGGCCAGCCCTGTGTCCTCCCTTATGTGCCTGGACTGTGGCAAATCAGCAGTTGAGCCATCCCAGCATCTCCAAAATCCAGAAGGTGATGGGCTGGACAGCACCTCCACTCTTTCTTGGAGTCCTCTAAGAATGTGGGTTGGCTATAATCCCAGTGGCTGGGGAGGCTGAGGCAGGAGGCTCACAAGTTCAAACACAGCATCAGCAAAAACAAGGTGTTAAGCAACTCAGTGAGACCCTGTCTCTAAATAAAATACAAAATAGGGCTGGGGATGTGGCTCAGTAGTCAAGTGCCCCTGAATTCAATCCCCAGTACCAAAAGAAAAAGAATATGGGTTGGATGGGATTACATGTAAAGCTTCTCTTTTCCTTGTGGTCACTCAAGGTATCAAGAGCCTGAGAAGGAGTAGAAATAAGAGGCAGCTGAAGCTGACAGAAAGAGCACAGCCTTCGGTCTGGTTTCAGCATCCCCTGACCATGGCCTTGCAATTGACTACCCTGCAACTTCCCTAAGCTCAGTTTCCACATCTTTAAAACCTGGGAAATCAATGATGTTAATGAAAATGAGAGGAGAATTAAATAAAATATTCTAACACACTGCCTCACATACCTACCAGATATTGAATGCAAGTTAGTTTCTTACCTCCAATCCCACAAGCCCCAGTTCTGAGACCAGGGGAAGTAGATGGGATAAGGAGCTTTTGGGATTCTATAAATGACTCACTGATTTACAAATACAGAAAGATGGAGAGACAAATTCAAGTCTAGTTTTGGATGGAAGAATGAGAGCTACAAAGAAAGTTCACAATTGACATATGTTTACTTATTTTTCTTTTCTCTCTTTTCTTTCTTTTTTTTTTGTTTGTTTGTTTCTGCTTTATTGCTATAGTTTTTATTATTTCACAGTACTGGAGATTGAACCCCATGGCACTCTGTCACTAAGTGACATCCCTGTCCCTTCTTTATTTTTTTATTCTTGAGACAGTGTCTGACTAAGTTGCCCAGGTTGGCTTCAAATGTTCTCTTCACTCTTGAAAGAATTCAAAAAGATAAACTTGTAAACATGTTTCTCCCATAGATGCCTACACCAAAAAATAAAAAAAAAAAAAAGGTGATTTCACCACTCTTTATCTTTTGTAAGCAATTCCAAATATTTCTCATACGCAAGCTAAAAACAAAACCACTCTTGATTATGAGTGAAGAAAGCAA